TGAGTGAAGATATCTTGACAACCACCTGATCAAATTAGATGAACTTTTTTTTATTTGAATTCTATGAATCCATAGAATTCAAATAAAAAAAAGTTCATCAAATTTGGTCAGGTGGTTGTTAAGATATCATCACTCAAAGTTTTAAAAAGTTTGTTTTTAATAGAGGGTATAAATAACAATTCCTATTATATATGCCCACCTATACTAAAGATCAAACCTTTGATAATACTATATAAAAGATGATCATTGGCAATTAGACTCAGCAGTAAACTGAATAAGAACTAGATATTTGGCAAGACACTATATCAATCAGGCTATGTGATCACAGAAAAAAAAATTTATTAGAATATCAGAGAATGCAAGTTTCTTTTGGACTATCTGAATTGGGAGTTTGAAAATGCTGTTAATATACCAAGAAAGTCAGTAATAGTTTATAAAGTGTGTGCTATAGTTTAAGTGAACTTTATAAAGGCAATAGTAATAGAGTTTAGAATATAGGAAAAAATTGTGCATGCCTATATAGGTATGTTCCTGAATTAAAGCATGCTTTTCATGCTTATAAGTATGCCTTTTTTAAATTATGTGATTAATATATAGTTTACAACCTTTTAAAATCTTGCATATTGATTTATTGTTAGTATCTACAGCTCTAGTTTTACCTGAACTTATTAGTTGATTAAAATAAATTTGAATATCATATAACAAGAATATACTTTATACCTCTGTGCCCTAAATTCTAAATAGTACTGTAGATAATAGTAGTGGCTTCAGCTCACAAGTCTTGTTTTAAGACTTAGTATAAGTTATCAAAAGTCTAAATTAGCTAGATTTGAGTATAAAAAGCTTTAGTAACGATGTTTTAAAGATAAATTAGTTCTAAGGACTCTAAGAAAAATATTTGGGACTTCTTTTGACAAATAATTATGATAAAGATATACTGGTAATACTAGTTAAGTTGTATTACAGAGGGTTTAAATAAATAACTCTTTAGCTAAATTGTAGGTATAGTAGCTAGTTTAGAATCTATAGTATAATACTAATACGCAGACTACTTAAATAGATAATTAAAGTTGTATGTGTAGCTAGTTGTATTATCTAATATAAGGGGTTCTATAAGCAAGTTTTATATCTAAATACTTGAATAAAAACCTCAGCCCAAAGAGGCTAATTAATTTTTTTTAGTTTTAAAATGACCTTTTGATCATCTTTTTTTATTCGATTATTGTTAACTTTTGCAATATAGTATATCAAATTGTATATATATTGCTATATACATTAATCATCTAATCTCTTTATTTTCAAACACCCAACTTAGAACTTTAAAGCAGGCTTCTATTAAGTTCTTTATTCTCAAGGTAAACCTGCTAAAGCCTTCTGTACCCACAATCTAGCTAACCTAGACTTCAGTTGATATATACAGGCCAAGGTCTACTACTTGCATCTTAGTTTTTATAGTGAAAATATTCTTCGGCTGTTTTGTTCTTATTAGTTTTTTTGTAATGTTTTAACTAACTATGAAGAGATTAGAATCGATGAATTTCAATAATTGTTCAATTACAGAATTGAGTTTTAAGCATCAGTGAAAATTTTTGACCAAACATTCGAATGTTTACCGAGTTTTTTAAGATATTAAAAATATACTATATTGTATAAATGAAAATTTAGCATGATATTAAATTTATACTGATATTATATATTAAATTACTTAATATTGATATATAATTTGCATGCGCTTGCTTTTATATTAATTAAAGTCTACAGTATATATCAGTATTTAATTTTAAATATCAGGAACAATAAAACTAATCGTTTTCATATTACGTTTTAAAAATACTATTCTACCAAATAACTTCAGATTTAATAATGTTCTTTTTGAACTCATAACATTTCCTGTATCAGAAAACAAATGTTCACTTGGTATACTTGTTACAGAAATTGAAAGAAATTTTTGTGCCATTTCACTTAAAACTAGAAAATGCTATTTTTGTAATGACACTATGTCACGAGATCTGCCTCGAAATCAAGCTCAGAAAGAGCAAGATAATTTGTGACTTCATCCTCATCATGCTTTTGAGAATTAGATGAAAAAACAGATTTAATAAATTCTTTACAATAAACTTGCTTTTCATCTTGATTAATTGTTGAAGTCAAAGATAAAGAGACAGAAGTAATTTGTCTAGATGAATAATGTTGAGCTTTGAATTCTGCATATATAATATGTAATATTTCTTCAGCTTTGATTCGTTCATTAGCTAATAAAAAGCGTAATCTTTTGCATCTATAGTCAAGTTGACATGTCAGATATACGTTTATATTAGGATTTAGTCAGTAGTAGAGTAAAGCTAGATAAAGAGACAATTTAATATGATCCAATAAGCCATTAATACTTGTAGATGTATTAATTTTTATTTGTCATTTTTTTGAACCTATTATGATTTCTTCCTCATCATCTACATATTCAAGGTCTTCATTAAATGCAGTATCATCAGAATTAAAGTCTAAAGTCAGATCAAGATCTTGAGCATTAGGGTATAAGTTGACTGTAAGAGCTGCAATTAATGGATACATTATGCTGGTTATAACATATTCACTTCCACTAAAGTATTCTGTATATTCATTAAATGGTCCAAGCAAACTAATTAGATTATTTATTAAGTTCCACTTGTCATTTGTAAGCATTATTTTTTTTAAGGCATTTATAGTCTTGATGTGCGTCAGGTAAATTCTCTTTGCTTAATATTATTAAAACTATATCGATATAGTCTTTATCTAAAAGAAGTCATTCCCATACTAAAAATGATGAGTATAACATTACATTTTAAACGAAGAAATTCTTTTGTATTCGGAATTACCTATATAATTAAAAAAAATAAATAAAAAATAAAACATAAATAAATAAATTAAAATATATTAAATTAAATTATTTTGCTCTTACATTTTCTTTTGAAATTTGCAAACTTCTTTGCGCAGCTTCCAACTTCTCATCTTGTTTTGGACTCATGAAAAAATTTATTAAACGTTTTGCACATGCTATAAATACTTCAGCTGGTAAAAGGCTCTTGCTGATTACAAACTAAAATGTGTGCACTATACAGAGCATTTTACTAACTTCTTCCATTTTATTTATAGCAGCCTTTACATTCGCTCTATTATCTAATGTAATAGTAAAAATCTTTCCTATTAATCTCCAATATTCAACTTGATTATTAATGGCATTATATATGTTAATAGCTGTATGTGGATATTTTAAATAAGATAAAGTAAAAAGAGCCTCATGCATTTTAAAGCTTTCATCTATCCATGAATATGTGATCCCTAAAAAACCTTGTCAATTTTGTGCTGTCTATAAATCTAACGTCAAACATACAGTTTTGTTAGTTAATTCTAACCGCTGCTTTAATAAATTTGTTGAATAATTATAAGTAATATGAATAAGTCATTTTATAGATTTCTCATATAGTATAATATATGCAGAATTCATGTTATGAACAAATTCTTGAAATGATTCTTTCGATACAAGATTAATTGGTATATTTTCATAAATCATAAATTTTAATAAAGATTAAATAAAAAATCATTTCTTAATTTTGAATAAGCATTATTATTAGCTTGATTTTCCTAATAAAAATAATTAATAAGAATAATTAAACAAAAAAAAAATACTAAATAATAACAATAATATAAATAAAACAATTTTGAAAATATTTACCGTAATGCCATGTACTGAAAACAGATAATGAATCAGATTCGAGGTTAATCCGTCCACAATTTTGATTTTTTAATCACACTTTATATTATTTTTTATTAACTGACATTCACCATAATAGGTTTTTTTACCATTTTTACTAGTTATTACAACTGAATCGAAATACTGCCAAACCCACGATCACTTTTTAGATCCATCATGCCTTTCTAATTTTGCTTTTTGGAAGTATTAGTAATGGTCTTCTCTACACTGAAATCTTGTTGTTCTTTATTATTGAAAGAGTGTTGTGCAGAAACATCAATGAAAGATATAATATCTTTATTTAAATCCATTTTATTATGATAATTAATTACGACCAATTTGAAAAAATTAACCATATATGGATGTGGCGACTTAGTGAAGTTGGTAGGTTGTTGCACCCCCAAGCAGCAGGACAAGAGTTCGAATCCTACTAGCAACGAAATTCGAATTTTATAGAATGTGTTACAGCAGACTGTGTGTAATTCGGGGATCAGCATCTGTAACCTTGGTCATACCAGCTTGTATTGGGAGGATCTGAAACAGTAGTATAACACAAGAGTTACACAAAACCCAAGTGATGGATCTGGATAAATTCAGGGGACCAGGTCACATGGAAGCCTGCTTGGCAAGTCCCGAATAGAGAGGTAGCACAGATTTTTGATGATACTATGTAAAGAAAGGTCATCGACAATCAGACCCGACTGCAAACTGAACAAGATCCGGGTGTTGGGCAAAGTACCATACCAACCAGTCCATATGTATATAGGGAAAAGGATTCATCAAAATATCAGAGAATGCAAGTTTCTTCTGAGCCATTTGAATTGGGAATTTAGCGATGCTGTTAGTGTGCCAGAAAAGTTAGTGATAGTCTGTAAAGTATGTGCTGGGGTTTGGGTGAACTTCATAAGGGCAAGAAGTAAGTAACGATAGCGGCTTTGGCTCGCAAGTACTTGGTCTCGGCCTAGGCGTAAGTTACTAAAAATCTAGGTGATACATGTATAGGACATAGACCGCTCTAGTAGTTTTACCATGAGGATAAAATAGTCCTAAGGAGCCTTAGCGGCAGTTCCTCTTTGGAGAGAATATCCGACGATGCTAAGTTGATCAGAGGGTTTAAATAGGTAACTCAAGTAATAGTGGGTTACAGATACAGCATTTAGTGTAGAACCTAGTAATAGGTAGATACTTAATTAGGCCTCAAAAGGCGCAAATATAGCTAGTTTGTACCCTCGTTAATATAACAAAGTCAGGGGTGGTCCTGTGGCTGCCCTGACATTCGCAACTGAAGTTAATAAAACGTGCCAGACCCCCAAGTAGTCACCTTAACATTAAAAAAAAAAAAAAAATTAACCAGATCAATATTTAATTAGATTAATATTTAATTAGATCAATATTTATAGAAGTTATCATTTTAATCAAATGATTTATCACGATCAAAACAAATTAACTTTGACTGATACTCGATAATTAATCAAATAAAAAACTCAGTAAATAAAAGTTTATTTCAGTACTCAAAATTTTGATCGATATTTGAATAATTATTCATTGATTCCACCTACTATAACTATGGTCTGATCACTGCTATATAATCTACTTCTGCTCTTATAGAGTTTATCCAAACTCTGATATACTTACAGACTATTACCAGTATCTTAAGCTATCCAAACTACCAATTCAGATAGTCTGAAAGAGCTATGTTCTAATCTGATCCCACAATTGTATTATTTTTTTCTGGAAAGAGGCTAATTAATAAAAAAATAAAATAAATAAAATAATATAATAATACAATATAAGCATTTTTTTCACCAATCAACAACTCTTTCTGATAATCTTCTGATTAATAACAACACAAACCAAACTACAGCAAAATGTATAGAAAAGCAACAAAGTAGATACTAAACTTGGTCCTATAAGTAGAAGCAACTTGTTGCTGATGAAGTCTAAGTATCTAGGTATGATACACCAAGAAGCAGGTGTCAAAAGAATAGACAGTTTTCTTTGGGTTCAAATTTTTTCTTCTTTAACAGACTCCTCAAGGTATTTGGCATCCAAACCAGAAGGGTTATTTTAAAAACAAGTTTATAAAAGTAGCCAACATGCATTCCTAAGTTGGTAGAAATAGAGAAGCTGAACTATACAACTGTAAAACTTACAAGAAGAACCTCATATACTCTTGTTGGCTCACTACTTTTTTTTGAGTAAATTTTTGTAAAAAGTGTGTATTTTAGTTTATTTTCTTTAAATGATCAATATCATATGTATTAAACAAGTTAGTATTATTTATCTTCCAAATCAGAACATGACAACAAACATATATATATATATGCTTCGAATGCAATAGATATCTGTACAAATGATACTTTGAAACTTTGTTTCGACCTCTCTACTTTAAGTCAGTCAATGAAGTTTTTCTTATTGAGTTTTTACTTTTGTATACTAGTTTAAAGAAAAATAGAAGTAGAGACTAATTTGTTTAGTTAGTATGTAATTTTTCTAAGCCATCCACAGGTTTATAATAGTGTATTAGAATAAGCAAAATTGTTTTTTTTTTCAATATCTCTTTACTTCTTTTCTTTTATATTTGTATATTTTCATTGTAGTCCCCTATATCTTTGTATTTTTTTTAGTCCAGTTTATGTTTTTTCTTATTTTGCTTTTTGATGCAGCGGGTAGCTGCTAGCTAATAAACAATGAAAAAAAAGTCTTTAGTAAGTTAAAGACTCTAAAGAAGGCCAAGAACTACTTAGACAAATCATGCTTGATATATAAAATCATATGGATGAGTCTTATTTTGGTTATACCTCTATAGTTGTAAGATAAAGTTATTGTAATTTTTAAAAAACTGGTACCATAATAAATAAGGCAGGACAGCTGAATTAGAAAAAAATAATACAATATAAGAATATACTAAATATAACTAATAATAAAAACTAACTAATAAATTAAATACGTAGTCACAACTCTTTCCAACGATCCTCTGATCAACAACAACAAAAATCGAACTACAGCAAAACGTATAGAAAAGTGATGAAGTGGATACTAAAACTTGGTCCTATAAATAGAAGCAGCTTGTTGTCAACAAAGTC